TATCTTTTTTAGTGCGTACAGGTGAAGGTGATCGTGATTGACTTGATGCATCACTATGAGCTGATTGTGGTTCTATAAATACAAAAATATAATGCATACGAAAAAATGATTATCAAATTAAATATACTTTTTTTTGATTTTGTATCATTATCCGATTCTGATTCAGATGATGAACCTGATGATTCTGAGCTTGCCGATGATGAATTTGAACTTGATCCTGATGATGATTTATCAGTTGGTGAACGAGTTGATTTTTTAATCTTTTGTATTTCTTTATTTGGTGATGTTATTGATTTGATTTTATCATTATTTGATGTAGTAGATCGTGGTGGTGGTGGTGGAGACGGCGAAGATAATGGTGTTGGTGATTTTCGTCTGGGTTTTGGTATAGATTGTTTTTGTTCGATAATACGTTTAGTTTGTACTTCTTTTTTTTGATCATCACTTGATGAATTATTACTTCTACGTCGTTTTTTTTCTTTATTATCATCCGATGAATCATTTGATTTCTTTCGAGAAATTTTATCATTACGTGGAGCTGTTGCACGACGTGATGGAGATGGTGAATGACTTGCAGTTGAACTTGATGATGTTGCACGTGGTTTAGATTTTAAATTAACAGGTTTTTTCGTTGATTTTGGTGATGCTCCCCTTGATAATGATGAAGAAGAAGCTGATGGTGAACGATTTTTTATTGGTTCAGATTTTCGTGGTTTCATTGGACTGCGACGATCACGTCGATAGGATGTTGAATTTATTTTCGATTTATCATGTCCACTATCACTACTTTTTGAAGTTGATCGTGCGGATTTTTTATAAACTTCCTTTTTTGAGACCGACGAAGAAATTGGCGATGGTCTTTTATCATTTCGTCTAGAGAAGAATGGTAAATATAAGAAAGAATAAAATAATCATGTAACTAACCGTGATCGTGGTTCTGGACTTCGTGAATATCGTTGTCGACGATTTTTCGGGGGTGGAGAAGGTGATCGACGTTTTCTTGGTGGTGGAGATGGTGATCGACGTTTTTTAGGAGGTGGTGAAAGTGGTCGACGACTTTTTTGAGGTGGTGATGGCGATCGACGACTTTTAGATGGTGGAGAAGGTGTACGACGTTTTTTTAAAGGTGGAGAGGATGTACGACGTTTTTTTGAAGGTGGAGAGGGTGATCGACGACTTTTTGGAGGTGGTGAACGTCGTCGATCATTACGATCATCTGGACGTCTTCGATCACGACGATCATCATCATAATGTGGTCGTGCTTTATAGCCAGGAGTATTTCCATTCTCATGACGTGCTCTACTATTTGACGATGGTGGCATTGGATTACGACCATTCGGTTTATCATTATCACCTTTCGATTCGTAACGATATGAATCTTCTTCACGTTTACGTATATCACGTAAACGATCATCATCTTCCTAAAGAAACAAAAAATGTATTAAACTGTATTCTAATCATGACAATATTTACCTTTCGTTTTTGTAATTCTTTTTTTTTTCATTTCTACCAATTCTGCTGGTATTCCATCAGGTGATGATTGTCCACTAGCTAATAAAGCCCAAAGTTCTCCAATAAACAATCGAGCTTTGCTTCCACCGAGAAAACCAGTTAAATTAATTTGCATCATTTTTGGATCTATACTCTAATTTAACAAAAAAATATTATTCATATAAAATTTCTCAGAAGAAAAATTTTCTCATACCTTGTCTTCAAGTTGATTAAATACAAATTCAATAACAACATCATCTTCCATGCCTAATAATTCTTCTAAGCGTTTTGTTATCCATGGTTTAATTACATCTAAATTAACTTTCATCATATCAATCTATACACAAAGAAAATATAATAGAAAAAAAGCTATCCATTCATTCACTTACTTTAACATCAATATTATCTGGAAATTTCATTTGTTTGAGTAATTTTTTTTGTTTGTTTGCAAATCGACTGTCTTGTTCAGCTGATGTACCTTTAAAAAACCCAGCATCGGCCATTATTTAATATGAATTTATTTTCTAAAAAAATAAATAAGAGATTAATAATGATGATGTTTATCGTCTTTTTTTATTTTATTTTATATCTATATTTTCTATTGAAATGCGTGAGAAAAAAAAGTCGCCTATAAATATTAGTTGTTCGGTTTTTTAAATGGGAACAATAAATAAACAACAATGATAACAATCACAGGTTAACTGATACAAAAAAAAGAACGAATAATTATCGATCCACAGTCGAATTTGATCTCTCAAGCAGATCACTTTGCCGTTTGATCTGATTGTTTTTTTTTCGGAAGAGAAAGACAAAAACAAAAGGATATTTCATCCAATAAGTAAACCAATACCAAAACGATAAGCTGCTTTGGCATGATTTAATGAACTACTTAACATGAATGTAAATGGTAATGGTAGAAGACGTTTTTCAATAACAGCGGTAACTAGTCCGTTAGTATCAATCATACCTAAAATAAAACAAATCTAATAACTGAATAGATTTATTAGCAATGATTTACCTCTGAAAGTTGTATTTGCTTTAATTAAATCATATTGATATGAAAATGTTGCTGATGTTTCTTTGGCAGCCAAAGATGCTTCAAATTCAACACCTAACTGTAGTGGACTGTTCGATTTTTGATGAAAATAACCAATATTAAGAACACCAGCTGGACTTAATTTAAGTCCAGTAAACCAATCAAGACCTCGATATCGAGTAACAAAACTTGTAATACCAATATGTTTTCCAGGTATCATTGGATTAGCTTGATAAAGAAGTTCAGCACCAATATCTAAATTTTTTGTGACACGTGCCAAATGTTGTAAAACACAAATTCCTGAATTTGTAATTAAATCAACATTTGCTAATGTAATTGTTGTTGATGTATATTGTGTTCGATAATCCATTGCGAATTGATAACCAGCCATTTTATAAGATTGTACCTAAAATCTTCAGAAATAATTCTAAAATTAAAATATAATATTAGAATTTTTACTTGAGCTAATAAACGTGTTCGAATTTTATCACTCCATTGATGTATTATTTGTGCATTAGAATTTCCATTTGCGTCCATATCACCCAAAATAACAGGAAAAACCTAATTAAATCAATAATAAATACGAAAAAAAAATTCTATTTAAATTTATTTACTTCCGATTGTGAATAAAGTTGTGTACCAACATAATTTCCACCAAATTTATATCCACAATTTGAACCAGAATTTAATGTCATTGAATGACTTACTTGAAAATGACTACTAAGCATTTTAGTAACTGATAATTTTGCACCTTCAAATGCTGGTGGCATTAAGTCTAATGAAATAAATTCAATAGAATAAAATATAATAAAAGAATGTCAAACCTTTGATTTTTTTAAAAACATCATCGAATATTCCTGGATTACGTGAAAGATCTGTTGTTGAATTCATCCATCGTGTATTTGGGAATGAAGGTGGAGAGTCGCCTACTGTTTTTGAGAATTCTGAAGAATTATTTGGATCGATTAAAGGCGTATCCCCCGATGGATGAGCCATAATTTGAGATATTAGAAATCTAAATAAATGATTAAACAATATGCAGTAGAAAAAACAATTATTTGTTGCTTTCTTTCTTTTTTCAAATCTAAGAACCAATTGAATTCATTTAAAAATATTATTTAAAGAAAATACGACTTGAAATTTTTAATGCAAATTTCAAGAAGATTTTTATTAAAAAAATAGTAAAAATCAATTTTATAAAATGACGATAGATCTCGCTAATAGTAATCTGGTTGTGTTGTTAATCATGACTCATCATGGGCTATTTTTTTTTGTTGTTTATTGATCGAAGTATGATGAATGCTGAGAAAATTGTTTTTCTTTTTAGATTTATTTTCTTGATATTCATCGAATAAAGAAATGGCAACACAAAAGTTTGTTAATAAAGGTAGAAATTAACCTTTTCGTACTAATTGTTTAGTTTTCACATGTCATCTTTTATTTAGCGACATTGGAATTTGGTCGTCGTATATTCGGTGAACAAATTCGTCGTGAACCAGCAACACTTAAAGAACAGTATCGAAAATTTCAATATTATCAAACAAGTCATTTTAAATTAGGTCTTATGGAACATGATCGATTATGGGGTGAAAATTCAGCTGTTAAAGAAGCAATGCGTCGTTTACGTATTAGTGAACCTGAAATATGGGATGAACGATCATTTCGTATATCACGCGCAATTAATTTTGATATTAAAAAAATGTATTTACCTAAAGAAGAATGGCTTGAATTTGAAACTGATGTACCTTATTTACAACCATTTCTTGCTGAAATTGAACGTGAACAAACTGAAGAACAACATTGGAAAAAAGTTTTGGGTTAATTTAGAAATCTTAATAAAGACATTTCCTCTCCACCGTATTTCCTCACACGCATATGAACCTTTTGCACTTAGAGTTTTAGTTTAAGAAAATATGCGAATAGATCCATCTGATATAACTTTTGTTGTAATGCGTTCATTTTTCATCTTGAAATTTCTAGTTCGTTTCAGATTATTTAAAAATGACGAATCAAATTGATGATAAAGATGATGATTTATCAGCAAATGTTGTTGAACCTGATGAAAATGAATGGAAAAAATTTATTGATGAGTAAATATAGTTCATTCATCTAAATTGATTTCTTTTTTTTTGTTTATTCTAGTATGAAATATGTTCGAGCATTAGAATATGTTCTTCAAAATGCACCTGTACGAGCTAAAGATCCAGACAAAAAAGTATATATACAATTAACTCACTTTATATGTGTTAATAAAATAAATTTTTAGAAAAAAGCTGCTCATATGGCATTATCAACAATGATGAAAATCAAGGCAACTGAAATTCCAAATGCTATCAACTCAATTCCTGTACCACTACGTGATACATTAATGAAATATGTTTATCGAGGTTTTGAAAATCCAAAAGATTATTCAAGTAGTGCTTTATTAACATGGCATGAAAAGGTTCTTGCAGCTACTGGGCTTGGTTCTATTGTACGTGTTCTTACTGATCGACGAACTGTGTAAACTCTTATAATGAATGATGTTTGAATGACATTCCAACAGTGATGAAATTTTCTGTTTTCTTTTTATGATTCGTGTGCAATAATGCATAGCGATTGAATCTTGTGTGCTATGAAACTTCTTTTTCTTTTTTTTTGCTTTGATGAACAAAACTATAATTGATTATTATTATCATCTGTGTGTACGAATAAAGGTTTATCTTTGATTTGTAGATGGCATGGTATCAAAAACTAATAACATTGTCAGCAAAAAAACGTGGTTTTCATTTAGTAACAGATGAAATTTTACAACAAGTTCCAGAAATAAAACAAATTGAAATTGGTTTAATGAATGTATTTATTCAGCATACAAGTGCATCATTATCGATTAATGAAAATGCAGCACCTGACGTACGTGTAGATATGGAAACTATTTTTAATAAACTTGTACCTGAAGATAATTCCTATCAACATTCGGATGAAGGTAAAGATGATATGCCAGCACATGCAAAATGTTCATTACTTGGTGCATCCATTAATATTCCGATAAGTTCTGGACGGCTTGCTTTTGGTACTTGGCAAGGAATATATCTATGTGAACATAGAAATCGTGGTGGAAATCGAAAGATTGTTGTAACAATAAACGGACAACCAAAAAAATAATATACAGATTTTTTTGTCTTATTTCTTTATACTAGCAGATTGGTATTTTATTTTCTCAGTTCTTTCAGATGACTTCCAGTGAAAATAATACGAATCATGTATCTGAAAATACATTATTAGAAGAGAATGGTCCACATGATGAAGTATATGATAATCAATTTCCAGAAAATGTACATATCATGAAAACGAATAATCAATTAAGAGAATTACATACACTATTACGTGATCGTACAACATGTCGGAGTGATTTTAAATTTTATGCCGATCGTCTTATACGTTTAACTGTTGAAGCTGCATTGGATCAGTTACCATATGTACCATGTAGTGTTATAACACCAACGGGCAATTGTTTTGAAGGTCTTCGTCATGAAAAAGGAACGCTATGTGTATCATTAATGAGAAGTGGAGAAGCTATGGAAAAAGGCATTCGTGAATGTTGCCGGTAAGAATTTACTAATTCATCGAAACATTATTGTACTGTGTATTTAGATCTATACGTATTGGTAAAATTTTAATCAACGAAGGACATGTAATTTATGCTAAGTTACCATCGGATATTCATCGACGTCGTCTTCTTGTTGCATATCCAGTTATTACAACAGGTTCAACAGTTCTTACTGGTCTTCAAGTATTACTTAAAGAATATCAATGTAAACAATCAAATATTATATTAATAACATTATTTTCTACACCTGATGGATTAAAACAAATTTGTGAACTTTATCCTGATATAACAATTGTTATATCAGAAATCAATACAGTTCCACCAAATCATTTTGGTCAAAAATATTTTGGTACTGATTAAAGAAGAAAACTATCTGCTATTTTCTTTTTGTTTGTTTTTTTCTTCAGTTTGTTTGTTTTTTGTTCATTCAAAATCTGTTAGTTTTTATTTTTCAGATGGATTCTTATTTTACCAATTGGACAAATCCAAATAATAATCAATCATGGATTGATCAAACATTTTCACCATACGATCTTATTGATCAAAATACTGGAAAAGATCTTTCAAATAAAATTCTAGATACAGCATTATATGGACAAGATCAAGAATTAAATGATGATGAAGCTGATTATATGTTTAGAGAATTAAAAACATTTTCAATTGTTCAACTTGTTAATAAAATACGTGATATACATAATATGACATATGAATTAGGAGTTAATGAAGGTCTTGAAATGACACGTGCAAAATTACTTAATATTTTTGATAGTTCATAATATATGGTTCCTTGTTAATATTCTAGATAAATAATGGTGGAAAGTAATTCTCCATCACGTGATTTAAAAAGACGACATAGAAGTACAAGTAAAGAAAGAGAACATCGTCATCATCGATCTCATCGTGATACAAACGAAAGGAAACATCGGCATTCATCACCTAAACGATCAAAATCACCTGAATTGAAACGTCGAAAAAATGATGATATGGAAGAAGGAGAAACTGTTGGTAATGATGTAACAACAAATAGTGATGAAACAAATGGAAATAGTACAACAAAACGTGTTCCACTTTCATTGGAAGAAATGGTTGAACGAAATAAAAAGGAACAAGAAGCAATCTCAAAAGTAATGTTGTATTACATACCTAATACTTCAAGTTTCTTAATCCTAAAAGACATATGAGTGTTGTCAGGTTAAGTAGACTCAATTATTAATTGCATATGGTTAGCTTAATAATATCAAGGTAGGTTACAATTATTTTTATCTTAGTATAGATCATTATATTAGTATAGTTGAGAACTTCTCATAAACAAAGGCAAAGAAAACTTTTCTTATCAAAATTATTATGTATAGATAATTGACAAGTGAGAAACAATGGATACAAAATAATAATTTTCCTATACTCTATCTAATAGATGGCTATGCTGGTCTTGTTTTAGCCGAAATTTCTTACAAAACAAGAACGTGAAGCTGAAGCAATACGACGTCGACAAGAAGAAGCTGATGCTATTCGTAAACGCAATGATGAATTACGTAAAAAACATGTTGTCTTTACTAAAGAAGCTGAACAAGCAGCAATTAAAGAAGAACGAGAACGTGAACGACGTGAACGTGATCGTCATCGACGTGAGAAAGAAGATCAAACAGAAAAATTAAATGCCGATGGTGAACGTGAAGAAGCAGCTGTTAAAGAACGATATCTCGGGATTGTTAAAGTAAAGATATTTTTTTCATTCTATTTTCATTTTAAATATCATATTTTATTAGAAAAAACGTAAAATTCGTCGTTTAAATGATCGAAAATTTGTTTTCGATTGGGATGCTGGCGAAGATACTGCTGTCGATTATAATCCAATATATAAAGAAAAGCATGAAATACAATTTTTTGGTCGTGGTCATATAGCTGGTATTGATATCAATAAACAAAAGAAAGATCAATCAAAATTTTATGGAGACCTTCTTGAAGAACGTCGTACACAAGGAGAAAAAGATCGAGAATCAGCTCGTTTGAAATCTGATCGTGAAAAAGATGAAAGACGTCGTTATGATGAACGTCATTGGAGTGACAAGAGATTAGATGAAATGGCTGATCGTGATTGGCGTATTTTTAAAGAAGATTATAATATAACAACAAGAGGTGGTAATATCCCACATCCATTACGATCATGGGAGGAAGCTGGACTTGAAAAAGGCATTCTTGATGTTATTAGTCTTGCTGGTTATAAGGAACCAACACCAATTCAACGGCAAGCAATTCCAATCGGTTTACAAAATCGAGATGTGATGGGTATTGCAGAAACTGGTTCTGGTAAAACAGCAGCATTTCTTATTCCTTTACTTGCATGGATTCGATCATTACCAAAAGTTGAAAGATCGATTGATGCTGACAATGGACCATATGCACTTATTTTAGCACCAACTCGTGAATTAGCACAACAAATTGAAGAAGAAGCAGTTAAATTCGGAAAACCACTAAATATTACTGTTGTCTCAGTTATTGGTGGTTTGTCTCGTGAAGAACAAGGTTTTAAACTTCGTCTTGGTTGTCATATTGTTATTGGCACACCAGGTCGTCTGATAGATGTACTTGAAAATCGTTATCTAACATTACAACAATGTACTTATCTTGTTATGGACGAAGCTGATCGAATGATAGATATGGGTTTTGAAACTGATGTTAAACGTATTCTTGAATATTTACCAGTCACAAATCAAAAACCTGATAATGAACTTGCAGAAAATACAAAGTAAAAGTTTTTTATTCAAAAATAAAAATTTCTATTATTTGTTTTATTTAGAGATTTTAATTCAAAAGATAAATATCGTCAAACAGTTATGTTTACAGCTACAATGACACCCGCTATTGAACGTTTAGCTCGAACATATCTTCGACGACCAGCATCGGTTTATATTGGTTCTGTCGGTAAACCAACTGAACGTACAGAACAAATTATTATCATGTGTTCAGAAAATGAGAAACGTAATAAATTACTTGAAATTCTTGAACGTGGTATTGATCCACCAATTATTATATTTGTTAATCAAAAGAAAGCAGTCGATATTTTGGCTAAAGGTTTAACTAAAAAAGGCTACAATCCATGTACATTACATGGTGGAAAAGGTCAAGAAAGTCGTGATTTAGCTTTAGCTCAATTAAAACAAGGTCAAAAAGATATTCTTGTTGCAACAGATGTTGCTGGTCGTGGTATTGATATCAAAGATGTTTCACTCGTATTAAATTATGATATGGCCAAGACAATTCAAGATTATACACATCGTATTGGTCGAACAGGTCGTGCAGGAAAAACAGGCAAAGCAATAACATTTTTAACCAAAGAGGATTCAGCTGTATTTTATGAATTAAAAGAAGTTATACTTGAATCTCCTGTATCACAATGTCCGCCAGAATTACTTAATCATCCTGATGCACAACATAAACCTGGTTTGTAGTTTAGATTTTTCATTATAAAATTAATTATATATTTTTTTTGTTTTAGGAACTGTGGTCACTAAACGTAATAAAACTGCTATTCTTTGTGCTTAGATCAACTAATTTCACCTATTAGTTTGTCTTGTAGTAGTGTTTTTTTTGTCTTATTATCATATATTGTTAATAAAAAAAAGTAACTCATGAAAGAAATAATGACGTATAATGTATTCATCCAATTTTTGAGAAGAAAACTTTTTCTTTCTATTTAATGACGCTTGTTATTGCGATAAATTTGTTCTTGCACAATCACCTATCAAGTGCACAGAAACTACAGACTATTTATTTGAATTGATATTCAGATTATTTGTTACATAACATATTGGTATTTTTTCTTCATTCGATCAGATGGAATCATCTTTATATAATCGTATTTATCAACGTGTTTATTCAGAAGTAAATAATGATGAACAATTTTGTACATATTTGGCTAAAATTTGTACTGATCCTGATAGTCATTGTGATGATTTACGTGATATTCTTGATACAATGTTTAAAACAAGTCATCCGAATATTTCCGAAACACGTCGGCAACATATTATTTATTCCCTTCTTGATATAATTGAAGAAGATCGACAACAGATAAAGAAAGATATCACAAATGAAGATAATGACGATGATATCGATCTTGCAGAAAAAGTTGAACGAAACGGTGAATGTAAATTATGTGGATGTGAACAACGAATTACAAGTAATAAAAAAATAATATTCAATGTTTCTATTATTATTAAGTTGTTTATTTATAAATCATAGTTCATCATCTGATACCAAAATTGATTCTAAAACGAATGAGAAATTCTGGTAAAGAATCTGTTGATGTATCAAAATATTTAGTTGAAGTTTGTCGACCATGTCATAATGAAATTCATCGAATATGGCCACATAATGAATTAGCAAAAGAATATCAAACAGTTGATATGTTACTCGATGCTCCAGCTATTCAATCATATCTTAATTGGAAACGAAAACGAGAACGAACAGCATAATTAAATAATTGTGTCGTTCCTATTTTGAATAGAACTGCGTGTAAATTGTGTGAATTTTTTTTTACAAATTCAAATGTTTTAATTAATATAAGACAAATCAAATTGTACGAATTTTATTAAATTTACTAAAAAATATCATTATCTTTTTTGTATCTGTATAATATAAAATCAATAAATTGAATCGTTAATTATATTTCAAAGTAGATTATTTATTTTTAAGAACACTCATACTATCATTCCAAATTCTTCAATAAACAATTGTTAGTAGAAATCCTTTTATAACCTAAATTACGTTAACAACATCGTTCCCAACTTATTACTGCCTGAAAGTGTATTATTCAGCAATCAAATAAATTGTTTCTAATTTTTCGATAAAGTTTTTATAAAGAGTAAAAAAAGTGACCCCGACGTGATTTGAACACGCAGCCTTCTGATCTGG